GGCTGGCCTTGAACTCATGGCGATCCTCCTGCCTCTGCCTTCCGAGTGCTAGGATTGCAGGTGTGTGCCACCACACCCCACCAAATAACAGCTCTTTAAATGACACTTTAATTGTATTAAATATTGTAAGAAATAGAAATGATTTAAAGGATATGGGAGGATGTCCATAGGTTATATGCAACTATGGTGCCATTTTATATAAGGGACTTGAACATCCATGGATTTTGGTATATGGGGCTCCTAGATCCAATCCTGACAGATACCAAGGGTCAACTGTATGTATATCCTCCAATCCTCTTTATAGATTGGTATGGCCAGGTAACACAATCCTGGCCAATAAAACATAAATGGGAGTTCTGAGAAGAACTTCTAAGATCTTATTAAAAAGAAAGTCTTGGCAAGCTGAAGCCCTTCTCCTTCTCCTCCTTTATGCTGGAAATATATGTGTGATGGCTGGTGTTCTAGCAGCTATTTTGGATGCATGAAGATGAACCTGGAATTGTGGAAACCTAGAAGTAATCTGAGTGTCTGAGGACATTCACTGGTGCTCTGGCCCATACCAGCAGCACCTGGACTCCTTGTGAGAGAAAAATAACAATAAGTCCCTCTCTTATTTAAACCACTGCCATTTAGAATTGCTGCTAACTCACAATATGAAGAAGAGGAAGAATACGAAGGTTCTATCTCACCCTAAAGTTCACAGTTTTCCTGCAATATATCCAGTTCTTGGCCCAATGTTTAGACAGATTTACAATGTGCAGAAGTCAGAGGGGCCCTGTTCCTTGGTGAAGTTCAGGACATCACTGTTGCTGGCAGAAAGGACAGGCTGCATGGCAGTGGCTGCTGGGCGAGGAGTGGGGCAGGAGTCCAGGAAGAACAGCGCCCCCTCCGGTCCCGCAGGGGGAGAGGACCCAGCAGTCACCGGAAGTCCTGCATGCCTTCCTGCCCACCTCTCTGCCTGTGCCAGGTCAGCCAGCATGGTGCTGTGTGTCTCACACGCAGCAGACAGAGAAGTCAGATTATCGTTAGCGGAAGTGACATAGATAACCCTTCCTAGCTGGGCTGACGGTCCTCATCCAGCTCTAGATTCTCCTCTCCCTTGGCCCTGGCATGGGGAAGGAGATGGCTGCTGAGGATGAAAAAGTAGCATCTCTAACTTAGGCATTCTGGTGCTGACAGGCACTGCCGGTCTCAGGAATGAACTGCTGTTCACACGCGCGGTGGGCAAGCTGGCGTGTGACTTGGAGCTCTTCCCCAATCCCCTGCGAGGAAACTGCTGCCACAAGACTTGGAAGAAGAGAGGGAAAGATTATTGTCATCCATGGCCAAAATGATAGGAAGCAGCTGAGGGGGTTTGTTATTAAAGTTAGTGTCCTCACAAAACCTGAGGCCAGCCACAGCCTTGCAACCTACAACCGTCATTACCCAGTTAGCCAGGGTCACCCCGCTCTGCCCAAATGAGACCCAGCGGGCCCGCTGTACCCCAAGGAGGGCCACAGTATGCCCAGTGAGCTGCAGTATGCCCAGCACGCCTGCCTCACACCCAGCAAGCTTCATGACGTCCAGCTGGCCTGTGTCACACCTAGTGAGGGTCAGAGGCTGACACAGGGCAAGACGGGTTCAATTCCAACTTCCTGAGTGTATGCTGAGCCCCAGCCTCACTCCCAAGCTTTGGTTTCGTCACTTGTAAAATGGGCATAATATAATCCCTACCTCACGGAGGGGACAACACATGCAAAGCAACTTCCCCAGTGCCTGATTATTAGAGGATCTCGGTGATCATGATCATGATCATGATCATGATCATGATCATGATCATCATCATCATCATCATCATCATCATCATCATCATCGCTGTTATATAAAAATCTCTAGAGAAGTCAATCAGTGCCAAAGACTTCCTTGATGCTGAAGTTCAGCATTCCCAGACCTCACCATCTGGATGCTCTGTGGCATTTCTAACCTAAATTCTTGCTGTCCGCAGCATAAGCCCGTGGTTTTTCTAATTTGGAGATCACCTGTAGTAGAAAAGCACCGTTTATCCTGATCTATAAGCAAACTCTTTGATTGACAATGATGACTTACATTTACATAATGCTTCATAGCTTACAGAGTTCAAGTCCAGCGTCACTACAGACTGTTTGAAATCACTCCATGTTGCTGGCCTTTGAGGACAATCACAGAATTTTCCTGAGAGGCTAAACCCAGAGAATCCCTAGGCAGGGAGCCAGGGCATGATTTGCCTACTTGTGTTTGTAATGAATTAATCATGTTTAAAAAAACCCAAACTTTTTCCTGCAAGTTGGTCTGTTACGGACTGAATTCTTGTGTCTCCCCCAGTCAAATGTTGAAATTCTGACCCCCAACGTGAGTGGAATGTGTGCCCCTGTGAAAGAGGCCCACAGTTCCCTCTCTTGCCCTTTCTGCTATCTGAGGACATGATGAGAAGCCAGCAACCTGCAACCCGGGGACTGTGGGGGCCTCATCAGAACCCAAGCGTGATGGTATCTGATCCCAAACTTTCAGTCTCTGGAACGGTGAGAAGCAGATGTCCTTTGTTCACAAGCTGGCACTTTGTCACAGCAGCTGGGGACATGGTCCTTTCTAGGTCCTCTCCAGGCTTCCACTTTGCCTTCTCCCCTTGCCCTGGGCCACCTCAAGGTGGCAGGGAAGTTTCCAGGAAGCCATGGTAGGAAGAGGAAGCCAAGCGCTATGATGCTTCGCTGTCATGAAGCTGTCCCCATAGAGGAGCTTTTGGGGGGGATGGGCACGGGAGCAACTTCCCTTCTGGGAAGCCCACAGGTATCCACAATGTCCTTGTCCTCATTCTTTGGGCGGCGGCTGTTTGGGGGTGCCCTGGGGATTCTAGCTCTTCCTCAAATCCCTTCCTCACTACAGGCTCACTGTGCAGAAGGTGCAGCAATGTCTGTCTGCCTTGAGGTGTGTGCTGTAACAAGCAGGTGGCAGACAAAGGGGAGAGTGAACGAGGTGGAAGGGCACACTTCGAGCACGGTATTCTGGCCGAGGGGGAAGCAGGGTGAAAAGATGCGAGCAGGCAGGGCAGAGTGTTTGCAACAGGGACACCAGGGCCTCAAAGGACTCAGGGGCAGCAAGAGGAACCATGTGCTGGTGGCAGGGAGAGGAAGCTGATGGGAGGTGGTGAGTTGGGGAGAAGAGGGCAGTGGGAGAGCCTAGATCAGGGCTATGGGCAGCTGGACCACGCAGGGCCTCCTAAGAGAGCTTTTGGCAGGGTCTGAGCAGGGGGCTCTGGTGTAAGGGCAGCTCTGGCTGGGGTGTGGTGGGGCCAAGTGCGGGCAGGACCGGGGAGGAGACGCTCTGACCAAGCTAGGAGGAATGGAGGGAGGCAGCTGGGTGGGGAGGAGTTGCCGCCTTCCAGAGCAATCCTGCAGGGAGCCAACAGGCTTTGCTGATGAATCAGGTGTGGCGGGAGGAGGAAGAGAAGGATTGGTAGACTGGACAACTTTACCCAAGAGCAACTGCAGAGAAGGTTGCCCTTGACCGAAAGGGGAAAGAACACTGGCAACATGGCAGCTCTCTGACGGCTCATGGAGAAGGAGACAATGAGCAGGCAGGTGGCACCGAACCAAAGTCAGGGGAGGTGGCAGCCGGGCTGTGCATGAGGGAGCCACAGGGTTCAACACAGCAGTCAGCCATGAGAGGGAAGAACTTGTCCGGTGTCCTGTGTGAGTAGATGGACTGGCCAGGTGGCAAGTTTACAGTCCCAGGAGTTAGTCCAGCCTTGCCATCACCATCCCCAAGGCAGTCCCTTCCCTCCGGGACAGCTCATGTGGACAAGTGCCCCATCCCGAGTTCAGAGTGGACGCGGGGACTCACGAGGCTGCTGGGCACTGTGACATCCAAGACTGGTGTACATTAGGGGTGAGGCTGGTGCCGGGTCACTAGGGGTGCAGGAGAAGGGAGCAGGGACAGCACGTGTCAGGTGACAGATGCCCAATTACTTCCCACCTGCAACTCACCCTCCAGGTACCACTCACCCCATCACATGGGCTCTCACCCAAGTCATCAGTGAGTCACCAGCCGCCTGATCGCTACATGAGGAATCTGAGAGCCAGCTTTGAATTCTTCCTCTCCTTGCCCCTTATTTCTAGGCATTTTGTGACCTAGGCCTCGAGACATCTTCTGCTCACATAACATCAGACCCTCACTGTCTTTCTGCTTTGCTGTGTTGGGGGTGGGGAGAGTCTCTTTGGACAGCCACCTAACCCCACCTGTGTGCCCCAGCCATGCTCCACCCCAAAATGAGGCTGCCCCACAAGGCTGAGAAACAGAACACACAAAGCCGGGTACCGTGTCTGGCACGGGGCAGGCACCAAAGAAACAGGGTCCACCGAAGTGAGGACTCTTCGTGGAAACAGATCTCACCATGCACGGCCTTCTACATTGGTCCACATGGACACTGCTACATAGTAGCCAAAACACTTTCCTTAAAAATAGCTAACGCTGATTAGCTAGAGGGACAGTAATTGGAATTTTAAGCAATCGTTGAAATTAATTCCTGAGAAGTCTGAGCAGAGCCCTTCAGACTGAGCCCTCCCTCGCAGGAGCTCAGCAGTTCCCGTAAGCACATGCAAATTAGCACTCTGCCTTCCCATATTTCACTGCCAGGTTTTTTTTTCTTTTCACTTTCTAGAGGAACGAACCCCAGCTCTGTGATCGCAGCACGGTGGGGACTCTACTCCAAGGCAGGCAGCCGGAGGAGCTCTGAGCTGCCAACCTCAATCTGCCCCGGACTCACGTGCCAGGTACACAGCACAGAGCCAAAGATCGGGTGGTTTCTTTCTGAAGTTTAAGTATCCAGGACTGGCCATGTTCTTTGCTGGAGAAATTTGCCAAACAACAGCTTTTGCCCAAAAGAATCCTTTTCATTTGTTGAAAGATGCCTAGGTCTGCCCTGCCCTCAGATAAACTGGGACAGGAAACTTGATTTCTCCTCTGCAGGAAGAAAGCACCGGCCCTACCTTCTTGAAGTCGTGCATGCTGATCTTCCCACGAAGGTCCTTGCTCACATCCAGGAAGTGCTTTCTGAACGCTGGGTCCTGCCGCTTTACACAACTTTTCAGTTTTTCAATGACTTCATCTTTACTCATGTTCTTGGTCGTGGCAGTCCTGTCACTGGTGAGCTCGGTTCTGAAATCACAAGCAAGCACTTAGATCCGGACCTCAGCCTTGCTGGATGTGTCTCACGAGGTTTCCCAGCCCTGTTTCACCCTGGGGACTTCCCGCGCTCCAGGGCTCGAACTCCAGGGCTCCTGTCTGCTGGGACACGGGGCAGGTGGGAAGGGCCTGAAGGGGGCGCTCTCATCACCACCGAGCTAAGACTCCCAGTGCGCTTTGGAGCTGGGGGGGAACGGCTGAGACGGGGCACGTATGGCTAAAAAAAAAAGGCGGTTTAATGAAGTGGGGAAATTTAAAGTTAGGGCCCAAGATAAAGCTTCAGATTAAAGAAATAGGCCATTTGGTGGTGATTCAATGAAGGAAATCATCAAACATTCACAGAGAGGAAGGGAAGCCATATTTATTCTGAGTTGATCTATGAAATCAACTTGATTTATAAAATATACATTTCATGTGACAGGAGGGGTGTGTGTGTGTGTGTGTGTGTGTGTGTGTCTGTGTTTAAGATCATTATTTTCTCTGCTCTCTAGTTGGTTACAGGCCCCATTTGGGGGGGAATAAAAGAGACATCCGACAGTGGTAGGGAAAGGATTTCCATTCTTCCCTCCTTCTCTCCTGACTTTTAGGAGCTCTCCATGAAACTCTACAACATTTTATGAAATGCTTAATTGCCATTACTTCTTTCACTAGTTTTAGGAAGCAGACATATCTTATCACAGAATATTTAACCTTTCTCTTGAAATACCATCTTTCTGCTCATTTATAAAGCAGCTACTACTGGAAAGCCAGATATTCAAATTTCATTAGTATATCATTAAAATATTCCCATTGCTCTATACTTAAGAACTTTGAAAAGGAATGTAACTGAATGAAGTCTGCAGGGTTTTACCTTTCCCGTAGATTTATGATAAGCCATGAACAAGCAAGTTAACATAGTATCTTTTCATTAGGCAACATCTGTATTTTTCAAAAGGAAGATCTAGAATAGTCATGGATCCAATTTTTTTTTATAGATTCACTAAGTGTGCTTTATTGTTATGATTCAATTTGGCAATTATTTTAATAATTCTACCATTTTTATTAGAAAATGGTAGCTGGCTTACTGGTGTGTTTTGGAATAAATATTACATGACAGTAAAGAATCTAGGCTTCTGGAAAAGAAGAGACATGCATGCAAGGTCCAGAAGAGCAAAGTGGTGGGTAGCTCTGGGAGACAGGCCCCCGGTTTATGACCCAGTCCTGCCACCAAGTGTGTGAGGTGCCCAAGGGACATTTCCACCGCTGAAACACCAGTGCTTTCATTTCTAAAAATTCACATACAGATTCAGTCATTCCTAAATCTCTGCTTGTTCTAAAATTCCCTGACTCCAATCACTGTAATAGAGCACGCCATCTTTCTTATTTAAATAATAAACTATTCAAATACTTAGCCAACAAATATTTGCCAAATGCCTAATCCCCACAAGGCACTGCGGTTTGAATGTGTCTTTGTGTTTTATTTTACCTCTCAGAGAGGGCCGGCTGCTGCTCTTCTCCTTTTTGAAAACGTTCACTTGGCTGATCCTTTGGAACAAGAATCGGAGAGACTGTAGGGGGGGCATTAATTCTGATGCATGCCAAAAATTTCTTGTAAAGGATTTTTTCTGAAGTCATATCTTGAAACTTACAGCAGAGTCTGGATTTGAAAAATAATTAGAGCACATTAGAATGGCTAAAATCAAAAGGATCGACTCTGTCCCCCATGCATTGCTGAAGATGTGGGTAACTGTGGTACTCATCCACTGCCTGTGGGAAAGTAAAATGGTACAACCACTTTGGAAAACACTCTGGCAATTGACTATACAGGTACCAGAAGAACCAGCCATTCTGTTCCTAGGCACTTACCCAAGAGAAAGAAAAGTGTATGTCTACACAGAGAGTTACACAGTATATACAGCTTTATTTGTAATAGCCCCAGCCTGGAAACAAACCACAAATCTAGCAACAGAGCATGTGTATACAAATTAGTGAAGCCATATGATGGAGTACTACTCAGCAATGAAAAGGAATGAACTGCTGATATATTCGACAACGTGTCATTGTGCTTAGTGAAAAATCAACCATGACAGCCAAGCAGTGTCAGCTTGTGGGTGGGAAGGGGGAGCCGTGAGTTGCAGAGGGGCACAAGGAAGCTTTTAGTGGGTGGGGAAAACACATGGCATCTTGAGGTTTCGTGGATATGGACACATACTGAATTATCTCATTATATTATTTTTAAAATGTGTAGTTTATACAAAGTATACTTAAAGACATAATAAGCATAAAAATGAATTTTTCAAAATTAGAAATTTTGGTATGCAATCATGTAAGTACTTATAATGGAATTTTCGCCTACGTAAATATTCTGCGTAAATATAGGAAACCACTAATATGGCAGGATTTCTTCCTTTCTTTCCTTCCCTTCCTCCCTCCTTTCTGTCTTTATTTTCAGTGCTGTGGATTGAAACCACTGAGCTAACCACTAGCCCTAGGGCTGATTTCTTTTTCAACATTTTGTTCAATTATCAATATTGCCTATTAGTATTGGAAAAATACATAGAAAAGGGTTTAGAATTACTAAATATATTTGATGAGATACATTAAATAAATTACTTTTGTAATTTAAAAAACTTACTTTATTAACTGTTCATTTGTTAAAAATGGGCAGAATATGCGCATGACTTTCTTGAAATTATTCCGAGCAATGAACCCCGTGTCTCCAAGGTCATATGATTGCAGCATGTTATAAAAAGCGTGTAGATTCTTAGCGATTGCATCATGAACCATTTCTTCCATCTACCGTAAGAAATACACAGTTACTGAGCTGTACGCGTGTGCCCAGTGTGCTGGCACTCTTGGATGGTATAGGAAGGCATCACAAAGAGAAAACCAAGCGCTACTTACTGAGCCCCATGCCAAGAGGAGAGATGTCTTAGTGCCTGTACAGGGGGATGTTTTTCTCATCTAAGTGGAAAGGAAAAGGATACAAACACCAATGATTCATGAAAAGTGGTGGGAGCTTTGAGGCAGCTGGACTTGAACATGAATTCTAACCCTGATTCCTAACCTCTGGCAGCAGGAGTGAGAGTTCCTCTCTGAGCTTCTGCTTTATACATACATGTAAGCACTTTGTACATATGTGCCTCTTTAAAAATAAAGTAACACATAAAACATACATTCTCATACATGATTTCAATAATTCCATTTCTAGAATTTTATACTAAAATGACAATCCTGAAGTGATACACACAAGCAGACACTTAGAGGTTCATTGTGGCAAAATTTATAAAAAGAAAACACCTAGATTACAACAACAAGGAATACTTGTTATCTTTTAAAATTATATAGCAGAACTTATGTGAAATGTTAACAATATATTAAGAAGTGACAACAGAGACTAAAGAGTCATTATTACATGATCTCATTTTTAAATAAAAATATGTATAATAAATGAAAGTGCCTATCTAGGCTCATCAAAGTGTACACATGAAATATATACAGGTTTTAAAATATCAAGTGCCTGTGTGTGTACATGTACACAAGTTTGGAAGGATATACAATAGAGCATAAAAGTGGGTATCAATATTTTGATGTTAGAATTAGTAATTTTTATTTTCTCCTATTTGCATACATGTGCATTCTAATTTTTCTAATTAATTAATTAATTCATTCAATCAACCAATGACCAAAGAGGCCCAGCCCTGTGGTGCAGTGGGCAGAGAAAAGAGAAGGCCTCTGCCTGTGAAGAGAGAGGACCACGGCAGACCGTGAACAGGACTGTGTGGCGTGACCAGTGCTGGGGGCTCCAGGAGTCCATAACCAGAAGACAGTACCCAGTATGCTGGGCACACCGAGCTGGGCACACTTGGGAAACCATAATACATTATCTTGCCAAATCTCTATATCAGCTGACAAGGTGGGTCTGTCATCAACTCTGTTTCACAGACAAAGACCTGAGTCTCAGGGAGGTAAAGGGTTTGTCCCGGACACAGCACAATGGGGGAGGCTGAGATGTGAACACAGACACTTAAGCTCTCGTCCGGCAGGGGGTTTCTATCCCTGTGGTTCAATTTGATTTCACACTGAAGTACCAGGGGTAAACTCAGTCAAGCCATACTTCCAGGCTTACATATTGTTAGGGTTGTTGTCTGAAATGTTCCTTAAAAGCTCGCTGGGTTAAAGATGGCTACTGGTGGGCTTTGGGGTGGTGATGGATCAGGAGTGCTCTTACTTCGTCAACGGATGGGTCCACAATGAGCTCATCATTTGACAGCATTATCGGGAGGGGTGGGAACAGAAGGGAACCTAACTGAAGGGAGTGAGTCAGGGATGGCCTTGGGGGCTACATCTATCCCACAATCCTTGTCTTTCTTTCTGTTGTCTGCCATGAGGGGAACCACTTTCTGCCATGATGCTCTGCCTTACCATGGGCCCAGATGCCACACAGACACATGACCATGGACTGAAACCTGAGCCGAAAGAAACCTTTCCTCCTTTGTTACTCTCAGATGTTTTGTCACAATGACAGAAAGCTGACACACATAGTTCCACATTTCACCTGGTGCACAGAGCTCAGCCTGACCTACCCATGCAGGACAAGCTCAGCTACAACCATCTCACCTTTGCATCCTGCCAGCCTTTTCCATCCATTTTCCTAAGAAATAGGTCATGAGACCTTTTATGTTTAAAAATAATTATACAAAAAAAAATAATTCTACATAGAATCACCCCGCTACTAAGGATTCAACAGAAAAAGAAAACAACAGGCCAATTTCTTTAATGAACCAATAGCTGCAAAAATCCTCAACAGGATACTTGCAAACAGAATGCAACAAATCATTAAAAAGATCATGTATCATGTCCAAGTTGGCTTCATCATATGTAAATCTACATATGTAAATCAATAAATGTGATATACCACATAAGCAGAAGGATAAAAATCACATAATCATCTCAGTACATGCAGAAAAAGCCTTTGCAAAATCCAACATCATTCATGATAAAAAAAATCCCTGACAAAAAATAGGTAGAGAAGGACCTTACCTTAAACTGATAAAAGCCACTACTGACAAATCCAGTGCCAACAACATTCTAAATGGGAAAAAATTGGCAGTATTCCTTCTAATATAAGGAACAAGACAAGGGTTTACACTCTCACCACATCTGGTCACTATAGTACTTGAAATTTCAGCCGGAGTAATCAGGCAAGAGAAAGAAATGAAAGGGATTCAAATAGGAAAGGAAGAAGCTGATGATAGGATCTTTTACATCGAAAATCCAAAAGACTCCACCAGAAAACCTCTCAGAACTAATAAAAAAATTCAGCAAAGTAGCAGGATACAAAATCAACCCAAAGGGGCCAGTAACAAATGCTGGAGGAAAGACAGCCCCTTTGTCAATGATACTGGGAAACTGGTTATCCGTGTGCAGAAGAATGAAGCTTGATCCATATCTCTCACCTTGTACTAAAATCAAATCAAATCAAATCAAAATGGATCAAAGACCTAGATATAAAGACAGAAACACTGAATCTGCTGGAAAAAAATTGGTAAAACTCTTAAGTCATAATCATAGGCAAGGACCTCCGGAACAGAGCCTGGATTGCATAAGAAATAATACTAAGAATCAACAATGGGATTATATCAAATTAAAAAGCTTCATGGGCTGGGGATTTAGCTCAGTGGTTTTGCCACCTGCTGCGCAAGCGCAAGGACCCGAGTTCGATCCCTGGTACCAAAAAACAAAAAAGGAATGAAAAGCTTCAGCAGAGCAAAAGAAATAACCAACAGAGTGAAGAGACAACCTGCATAATAGAAAAAAATTTTGCCTGCCTCTCCTCAGGAAAAGGGTTATTAACTAGAATATATAAAGAGCTCAACTCAAAAAAATTAGACTTCCCCAAATAAGAGATCCAGTCAATGGATAAAGAAAATGTGGTTTTTTAATAAAATGGAATACTACTCAGCCACAAAAAATGAGAAATTAGAGACATTTATAGCTAAGTGGATGCACATCGAGGTGATACTCTTAAGTGAAATAAATAGGACACACATGTATAAATACCGAATAGTTTCTCTGGTGTGAGAAACTGAAAGTGTAAATAAGGACTAAAATGTATAATAGGTAATGTGAAATAGGAAGAAAAGGGGCAAAGGGTAAGGAAGTGGGAGGGCTAGAGGAAAGGATAGAAGGGAATGGGATTAATATGAGAAAATGGGAAAATAGGAACTAAATCTTTGTAAATAGGGAGGAATGGAGGGGTTGAAGGGAGGGCTGGGCAAGGGTGAAAAATAAGAACCAAGAGAGATTATGTAAAGGTCCACATTTCCAATGATGAATGTCATTATATTGTATACCTAAAATGTATCAATGATTAGAATGAATAATCAATAATGCAAAATAGGAAGAAAAGGTCCAAAGGGGTAGGGGTAGTGGGAGGGGCAGGGGAAAGGAAAGAAGGGAAAGGAAAAATGATGAGAAATGGAAAAAATGGAAATAAAGTCTTTGTAAATAGGGAAGGGTGGAGGGGGTGAAGGGAGGGCTAGGAATGGGGAAAAAAATAAGAACCAAGATGCATCATGTAAAGGTACAAGTTCCCAATGAGAAATGTAAATGTGTTGTATACCTACAATGTACCAATAAAAGAATTTAATAAAAAAAAAAGAGATCCAGTCAAAAAGTGGGCAACTGAAATGAATAGACCCTTCTCAAAAGAAGCTCAAATTGCCAATAGATGCATGAAAAAAATGTTCAACATCTTTGGCCATTAGAGAAAAAGCAAATCAAAACAACACTGAAATTCCATCTTATTCCAGTAAGAATGGCTATTATCAAGGACTCAAAACAAAAATTGCTGGTGAAGTTGTGGGGGAAAAGGAACCCGTCTACATTGCTGGTGAGTATGCAAACTAGTATACAACCAGTAGGAAATCAGTACGGCAATTCCTCAAAAAGCTATGAAATTCTATCTGACCTAACTATACCTCTCCTGGATATCTTCCCAGAAGAGTTAAAGTCATTATATGACAGTAATAGGAACATATTCACAATAGCTAAATTACAGAAGCAGCCTATAGACAGGTGAATGGATAAAGAAAATAGAAGTGGTATATTTACACAACAAAGTACCACTCAGCCATTAAGAAGGATAAATTTGAATTGTTTGTAGGAAAATGGATGCACCTTGAGACTATAATGGTAAGTGAAATACATCAGTCACAAAAGATTAAATATCACATGATTTCTCTAACACAAGGAACCCAAAATATAAATAATTTAAAGAGCAATACAAAAGAGAGATAGCAGGAAACAAGAGGAAGACTCTGTGGAGCTGGAAAAATATAGAGAAGGAGGGATGGGGAGGGAGGCAAAGTGGAGTAAAAATGATCAAGATTAGATATGTATAGGTACCAATTTCCCAGGGTGAATGCAATTATTATGTATCAGAAACATATACTAGTAAATAATATCATGAGTTCAACCATGATTTAATAAATATGTGCACACACAGAGCAAAAGAAAATTTGTCAAAATTTTAACTGTATCTCTGGGCATTGGGATTTGGGGCTTTTTTCATTATTTTTACCTGTGTAGATTCGGATATTTTCTAAGTAGTCTACAATGGCTGTCTATAATCATTTTTAACCTTTTTCAAAAAATTGCTTAAAAATTTAAATGCTAATAGCTATTATTATAAGATACATTTCTAATAATAAAACTGTCAACTTTTACTCAAAAGAAACAAATAATAAAATCAAGTTGTGGTCACTAGAGCCGATCAGCTCTATTATTTTTTATTAGTATATATTTTTGATACATTTCAATTAATAAGCAGTTATATTTTTAAGAAGGGGAATCAACATAGGATGCAAAATCTTTTCAGACACTCCTTTCAAAGACAGTGCTGTCACAGTTACATCCTGTCCACAAAGGGTTGTCACTTAGGGACTGGTTTTCAGAGATGTCAAATATAATCATTTGATAAGATTCAGAATTTAAAAATCAAAATTAAATAACTCAATCACTTAACTCTTACTTAAACTGTAAATTAATTCAGTTGAAAACATGAAGTCATTAATTTAACCTAAAGCATATTCCACATGCCTCTTTTATTTTCCTAAGAATACTTAAGTTTCCTGCCATAAAGAGAACACCAGATGTGGGAGAACTTACCTTAGGGCTCGCTTCAAGCAGGTCAATAAAGGAGCTGACTTTGACCACTCCAGTGCCCCCAGGGTCTAGTGTTCTCATGAGCTCTTTGAATTCTGAATCTTTTAATTTTATAACAGTGAAACTTAGAATCTGTCTCAATTTCTCCCGTTATCTGTCCATTGGGTTTCTGAGTATGAGAGGGTATATGAGGGAATTTTGAAAAAGGAAAAAAATGTATTATTACATATATTTAGTATCATTTAGTAAAGAGTGAGCTTTAGCCACATAGGATTATTATTTGAAACGGGAGCACTACAATGGATGAATTGTGTAACATGTGTGCCCAGAGTGGGGCATGTACTCCAAGCACACTTCCCACAATGCCCTGCTCAGGACCTGGGCAGGAAGTGGTGCCCGGGGAGGAGTGAGACCCATTTCTGGGGCAGAAGCTGACACCTTCTCCAGGTCTTCCACAGCCTGAGCACCCCCTTCCCTGGCCCTACCTGGGTGGCTCACAACTTCCCGGCAGGTCCATCACAGCTCACCAATTTACTAGGGATATTAATTAATTACACTTGTTTTTCAGTACCACTAACCTTGTCCATTACATAAATGGACAACTACTTAGCGAGAAAAACTTCAGCCATGCTGTGTAAGGATGACATAGTATGAGCAAAATACTCTGAGGCAGCCTTCTGCCCCCTACAGAATAAAAAATTGCCAATAAGTAAATTAAATATGAAAATTGCAGGCCCTTGTTTACTGGAAAGACAGTAAAGATAAAAGAATCCCTACATCATGGAGAGATATTATGAATATTAATGCAAAAAAAGGGTTTATGAAGTGGTAAAGCAGTGTACAAATGTCAACTGCTATTTGGGGCTCAAAATACAGAAAGTGAATAAAGTTCTCTGGGGTAAAATAAGTTAGGGGATATATGCATGCTTACTTTGGGGTTTGGGAAATAAAATCAATTTTTTAATGTCCAAATAGGAATCACTGACAATTTTTAAATCATTTTTGATAAATGTGCAGCATTGTGTAACCATCACTACTAACACTAGAATGTTTTTGTCACTCCTTCCAAAGGATCGTCATGCATATTTCCACTCACTCCCCATTCCCATGTCCATCCTAAGGCGTGTACTTTACTGCCTGTCTCTATGGAATTGCCTCTTCCCTGGAGATTTCATGGCAGCAGAATTATAAAATAAATAGCTGGTGTTCTGCATCTGGTTTTTTTCACTTAGCATAGTTTTTCTGAGGTTCATCTACATGGTGGTGTGTATCAGTATTCTGTTCCTTTTATTCCTGAGCCATATTACACTGAATGAATACGTCACGTTTTGTTTATCCACTCATGGGTTGATAAACATTTGGAGCATTTCCAGCTTGGAAATTATGCATAACATTGCTAAGAACATTTGCACTCAAGTCTGCGTGGACTTGTTTTTCTCTTGGGCTGACACTTAGGCATGGACTTGCTGGGCCACATTCTTAGTTGTGTTTAGTTATGTAAAAAGCTGCTACACCGTTTTTCCATGACGGCTGTACTATTTTCTGTGCCCACTAGCAGAAGACAAGAGTTCCAGTACTCTACATCCTTGACAACTTTTATTATTGTCAGTCTTTTTAACTGTAGGTCTTCCGATGGGGGAGAAGTGATACCTCATTGTGGTTTTAATCAGCATTTCTTTAAGAACTAATGATGTTGAACATCTTTTCATGTACTTATTGGCTCTATTTATATATCTTCTTTGGGGAGATGCTATTAAAATCTCTTGCTCACTTTAAAAATTGGCCCATTTTCTCACTGAGTTCTAAGAGTTCTTATATATTCTGGACACATCAGTCCTTTACAGGAGACATGATTTGCACCTATTTACTCCCAGTCTGCTTTTCACTTGTTTCTTCTTTCTTGATGGTATATTTTGAAGCATAAGTTTTGGATTTTGATGAAGTCTGATATGTTGATGTTTTTCTTCTTAGGATTCATGCTTTTGATGTTGTATCTAAGAAATGCCTGCCTAACACAAAATCATAAAGATTCATACACATACTTTTCTTCTAAGAGTTATATCATTTTAGCTCTTACACCAAAGTCTATCTGTAGTATGGTAAGAGTGAAAGTCATCTTTTGTCATCTGGATATTCAATTTTCTCACCGCCATTTAAAAAAGATTATCTTTTCACCGTTAGTTGTCAAAAATGAACTGATTATCAATGTCAAGGTTTGTTTACTGGAGTCTCGATTTTGTTTCATTGATCCATTTATCTAGCCTTATGTCAGTAGCACACAATCTTTGTCACTATAGCTTATACTAAGATTCAAAATCAAAGTTTAAGTACTCTAAGTTGATTCTTCTCTTCCAAGATTATTTTGGCTATTCTGTGACCATGTGAATTTGTATTTCCATATACATTTCAAGATCATTCTTTTCAATTGGAAAAAAAAGCCACTTGGGGTTTTGATAGCATTTTCATTAAATACATAGATTAATTTGGAGGGAACTGCTATCTTACTAATGCTGAGTATTCTAATCCATGAATATGGAATGACTTGTATTCATACCTTTTAATTTCTTTTAAAATTTTTGTAATTTTCATTTTGGCACTTCTTTTGTTGAATTTATTCTTAAGCATTTTATTTTTTTGATGTTACTATGAATGGAATTGCTTTCTAACGTTCATTTTCTGATTGTTTCATTGCTAGTTTATAGAAATCTAATTTCTGTATATTGATCTTATATTCTGCAACCTTTGTGAAGTCTATTAGTTCTAGTTGTGTGTGTATGGGGTGTTTGTTTTTTTAAAATTTTTCTAAGCACAAGATCATGTTCTCCTTTTTTTTTTTTGTCCTTTAATAAAGATGGTTTTGCTTCTTCCTTTCCAATCTGGATGCCTCTTATTTCCTTTTTTTTTCCCTAAGTGGAAAGTAAAAATAGCAAAAGCTGACATTTTTGTGTTCTTCCTGATCTTAAGGGGAAAACAGTCTTTTACTATTAATATATTGTTAGCTATGGGTTTGCCATAAATGCTCTCTGTCAAGTTAGGAAATTTATCTTCTATTTCAAGTTTATTGGAAGTTACTATTATGAATGAATATTGAGGTATGAATATTTTTCAAATACTTTTCTGCATCTACTGACATGATCGTGTAGTTTTGTCCTGAATTCTATTAATATTATTTATTATATTACTTGATTTGGGGGAGTTAAACCAACCATGCAATCGAGAGATAAATCCCATATGTTTATAGTGTCTAATCCTCATTATATGTCCCTGGATTTCATCCACTAATATTTTGATGAGAGTTTTTGCATCTATCTTCATGAAGGATATTGGTCTGTGACTTTTCTTTTTGATGCCTTTGTCTGAATTTGGTAACAGGGTACTATTGGCTTCTTAGAATGAAGTGAGATGTGTTTCTTTTCCTTATATTTTCTGAAAATTTGTAAAGGATCAGTATCATTTCTATAAACTATCTTTGTAATCTTCAGTGGAGAGACTTATTTGATTTTTAAACATGTTATTAGCAATGTTATTTTAGAAGTTCTTTTTTGAATTGTTTACTGCAAAGTTTACAAAAATATTGTTGGTTCTTGCATATTGACCTTGTGTCCAATGACCTTCAAAACCCTAATATTAATTCAACATTTGGAGAGGAGATTTTCTATTATTAAAAATTATGTCATCTATAAGTGATAATACCAAGAATAATAGTAAGTGAACAGCCACACCAGATTTAGAGTTAGTGATCGCGATGACAGAGTCACCTACAGAGTGGTGGCAGTTTTTAAAGACAGCACAAACAGCAAGTGGAACACAGGACTTGGGCTGATCTAAAGTGGCCTTTCTTCTACATATTCTGTGTTCCTCTCTATAGCAGGAGAGGGACCTGCTTCCCAGGGCTGCATTCTACAGCCAGGCAGAACCTCTGGCCCTGCCTACTGCCAGTTCCCTCCCTCTTTTCAAGCTCCTCCCATCTAGTCCTTTCCATGGCCTAGAAGTGGCCAAGACTGAGGCAAGGGCTGGGGGCAGTGGGGAGTGCCAACGGAAACTATGCACTATGCAACTTAAGGGCACCTGATGGTCACTGCAGTTCAGTGATACTCCAGAGGGTGAGCTTCTGGCTGGCAGTGGCTTTGCATTGTCCAATTATGTGCACAGCTTAAGTGCCCAATGCAGCATGCGTCAGACACTCAATTCTTAACCTACACCGTGTGTGTGTGTGGTGTGTGTGTGTGCGCGTGCGCGCGTGCGTATGTGTGTGTGTTGGGCTCGAGTGGAACAGTGCAGCAATGGCTTTTATGTAGCCCAGTACTTGGAGTGCTTAGCATTATTGAAGTCCTCCATTAGCAGAAATGAAAATTACGCTATTTTTAATTAAATTACTGCTTCAATTTATTAATAGAGCCAAGGTTGGGAAACTCCCCAAAGCTTTCATCTATCTTTGTCCAGGTGGCTCATCCAGCATCCCTGGCAGCTCTGTCCTGCACTGGATTGGGCCTGAATGAAGCTAGGTGCCTGCCCGGAAACCCAGCTCCCCTGGTGGGGCTCAGGCTGGACGTTCAGCCCCAGCTCCTTTCTCTCCTCTGTCAAATGGAGATAATAACAACATCTACCTGGCAGAGGCGTTGAGTGGATTAGAAGAGTGTGTACTGTTAAAGACAGAGATAGTGTGCCACACCAGCCTACAGATTGTCCCAAAGACTGTCACAGCCTCCTTCTAGCCACTTTCTCTCCATGGGGTTTCAGTTACTCTCAATCAACTGCAGTCAGTATGACACAGTGTAATAAAATGCTGCGGGGATAGCATTCACATACATTTTATTAGTTTGTCTTTATAGTTATTCTATTTTATTATTAGTTATTGTTGTTAATCTTTTACTGTGACTGATTTATAAATTACACTGCATCATAGGGATGTGTGTAGAGAAAAAGCCAGTATATACAGTCGTGGGCCGCATAATGACACTTTGGTCAGTAACAGACCACACATACAACTGTATATATCATGTGGCCTAGGTATGTCACAGGCTGCACCTTCCAAGTGTGTGCAAGTACACAAATACACTCCATCATGTTCCCAAAGTGATGGCATCACTCAGCAATGCAGCGACACATGATGATACAGGGTTCTCTGTACTATCTGCAAATTCGGGCATCCATGGAGCAGGATCCTGGGACAGGTACGGCATGGATGCAAGGGGACAGCCATAATCAAAGTAGGTATGACTCCCCAGGAACACAGCAACCCATATCTCTGAATCCACACCCGGCTTGGAAACCCCAAGCAATGGTAGTCCAAACTGACAGAAGCAGAAGCTGGTGTCCCCAGCATGCAGGGCACACCCAAGCCTTTAGGCCAGCTGCTGGCAGTGGGCTATCCCCAGAGCATGCCCTGGGGCTCACAGACTTCTGCTTGGTCAGCAACCCAGGAAGCCAATGCTGAGGCTCAGTGGTTCCTCTGGCAAATGACACCTTTTGTTCACAGTCCTATTTGAGTCTAAGGACAAAAAATTTCTACTCCTCAATATTTACTAGAGATTTGGTTACAGAATATGCTTAGTAAATAAACTTGGGAAATGTCACTATGCATCAAGAATATCTAACTGCTATTTTCTAAAATAAACATTAGAGCGAACCAATGTTTAAAGCTAGAGAAGCAAGTTGCAAATTCCTGAATTAGCCTCCTTTTGCTGTACTGTACAATTAAAATGTTAAATAGGCTATGTTGGAACTAAAAATATGTTTCTGTGTAGACCAGTTGGTTATGAACTGATAAACTCTCAGTCGGGGCAGGGAAAGCTCAGCAAGTCTGGATTATTTGTTAATTAACAGTCAATGTTGACTACTCACTCCATTCTTAACAGTCTTGCAGCGCACTGATTGCATTGCTATGAACATTTATCTTACTGTTCTGCAATTGATTTTATGCTATTTCTCTCTTCTTCTCAACTAGACGCAACCTTAGGGGTCAGGCCTGACAACCCTGAACACTCAGAACAATTCTCGGCACACAACAGGAGCTCAAAAAATATTTGTTGGATGGCTAAGCAAGTGAATCCAGAGTTTTTACTGGTCATCTGAGTGTTAAACGGTTTTTAGTTGCAAAAAAAATAAGGGCTGGGGATGTAGCTCCTGGGTTCGATCCCCAGTACCGCAAAAAATAAAACAGAAAAGGTTGTTAGTGGTGGCTCTGAGTGTTAGCTTTCTTAGAAACAGCTAGTTTCTCAACAGAGAAGGGGTTCAGAAGCTTACAGCGATGCTGTTCATCAGTAATGCTTTCTTCAGGGACCTGTAGCCGTCTTCAGCGTGTCTGAGTAACTTTGTGATAACATCATCCCTGTGAGACTGGTTTCTAGAGTTGATGCTACAAGAGAATTAGCAGAAACGCAGGAATAAGATTACACTCTTGAACTTTGTCTTTTCTTTACATGAATTTCAGGGACCACACAACTGTGATGGCACTTTCCCTGTGAATGGTGCCTTCCTGAAAGGACGTCACACTCGTGTGGGCCTGTTCGAGTCATACTTGGTGGGTGTGGCATCCAATAGAATGCAATTCTCACAGGTGTCAATTAGCTATGCCACCTGCCCCCTCAGCTGACCAGCCAAGCTCAGCCTCCGTCATCCATACATGTACCCTTGGGGGTCATGAGCATCCAGCCTAGAGATCAAAATCAACTTCAATACAGACTCTGATAAGAAAGGGGGACTGTTAGAATAATAAAATAGCGTTTGTTTTCTTCCTTTTCCTTAATGTTCAACTAGACACTTTTACCTTTCCCACTAGGTAACAAAGGACGGTGGATTGGTTTACCCACGGGATCACTCCCTTGTTTGGGGGTTTGGTTGCATCCGGACAGCCATCTCAGCTTCTTCCAGCTGTGCAGAAGTATACAACACACACAGCCGCTTTTCAGAGAAACACGCTGAGTTCTTCTTTGGAACCTAGTTTTTCTAAAGATCACCAGCACTAGCACGAACCGGTTGTTTGCACAGGATTCCCGATGTGGAGGCCGGCAGTTCCTGTTGTGGGACACTCACGGTAGGGCACTGTGCAGTTCTCCTAGGCTCTCTACCCACTAGATATCAGAATGTGTTTCCACCCCCAGTTGTGACAATCTAGTCTGTCTCCGGACACTGCCAACTGTCACCTGAGAAGCAGGACTGCCTCTGATTGAGAACCACTATTTTAAAGTAAATAAAACTTTAATTCTGACAAGGTGCAATCAGACAAGAAAATTATAAACACCTGAGTAACTTGCCTTAAAACAGAAAGTTGTAACAAGGAGAGAGAGCTCTCAGGCAGAGAAGTCACTAAATACTGATAAAGCCTGATACAGGGATGGGTCCCAGTAAGGCAGGAATTAACTCTGGGGTGCATTTTACCTTACAATAGAGTGCAGCACCTTCAGTGCACATGGTGAGATTATAAAGCCTATTTTTTTCTTTAAGATCCACATAGGACAATCCATCCAGAATGTACATCAATATAAACAAAAGACTTCTTAGGGCAAAAGTCTAAATTCTAAAACTTCAGAGGGTTAAATACTTTTTTAAACATTCTTTGGCCCCCAGCACAACTTCCATGAAATTGTAATTGCAAGTTGTAGCAGACATTAGAATTGATGCCCAAGCCCAACAGCCCCAGGAGCCTCATACTGGCCCCACACCGAGAGTGCCCGCCCCTTTCCGTATAACACGTGGCAAGTGCACGTCAGTACACGATCTCACAAAACACACTCAGACGAGGGGAGCAGTGTGAGCGGCCAGCGCGTGTACCGGGGACCTCGAGCCTCTCGCCAGGCTCATGGCACACGACCCAGTTAAGATCCCTTAGGGTTTTATTTTTCTCACCTAGAAATTGGAAGGATAACTGTACCAAACTTCGGTTTTAAGGCAAATTTAAACATGAAAAATATTTATAGGCTGTAAATTATTATGCAAAACTTGGCGATTATTCAATGGAGTTTAATTGGCCAAATAGATGAAGAAAAGGTATTTGCTAATCTTTTACATAGTATGATTTGTACTCCTAAAATTGAGTTGGTTTTATACATACCTATCTCTTTTTAGGGGGGGGGAGCTATATTACTATTTTCCAACCCCCGAAGCTCATAAAATGATGTTAAAAATTGCTTCCAATTGATTCTAGTGGTTGTTTTAAATCCAAATCTGTATTAAAAGAAAACAAAAATATTATTGTAAACATTTTTTCTATAACACCATGGATTAGATGCTTAATATTGAATTGAAAATGGCAGCAATGAATTTATATGAAATTTCAAACCTAAGGCAAACCAAATCATTTAGTAAAATAGCACTGCAAATTGATTTTTAAAAAGCAAGGAAAAATCAAACTGATTATACATCTTCATGTCTCTGCATTCTGTTAGTGTTGCCATAGACTGAAGGAAAAAACAAGGGGTTGGATAAAGTTCTAATGTCCACAGAATAATTTGTGGTCAGTGGGATAATGGCCCTCAAGGTGTCCAGTCCCAGTCCTTGGGGATCTGTGGGTACCTTACCTTACCCAGCAAAGGGGGCTTTGTCAATGTGGTTAAACATGCACCTTGAAATGGAAGAGTATCCTGGCTTCACCCTAATCACGTGAGTTCTTAGAAATGGAGAAAGCAGCAGCCAGGAAAAGATGTGATCTTGGTGGCTTTGAAGATGTTGGAAGGGGCTGTGAGCCAAGGAGAGCAGGTAGTCTGTAGAAAGCCAAGTAATAGATTTGCCCAAAGCTCCAGGGGACCTGCTGACACCTGGATTTTACCCTGAGAGTCCTAGGATGGGCTTCTCACTGGCCACATGTTATCCTAAGGAGTTTGTGTTGTTCTAAGCCACTAGCTTGTGTCTTTGTGTGGCACCACTAGAAAACCAGAGCAGATTTAAAGTCTTAGCAAGAATACACAATTAGAAAATTATTCAAAAACTTATTTCCAAGGTGAATATGGTCCCATGACTCAGGGCCCAGTCATTTGGGTGTTAACAAGATGCCACCAGGAACAACTTGGGGGTGAGCATTGATTTGAGATTCAGAAAGGCCAGAGCCCAAGTCCCGGATCCTTCCTTCCTGATGATGTGGCTCAGGCAAGCTGCTTTCTCTTCTGCATCTCTCTTTATCGTTTCCTGCAAATGAGAGTGAGTGGTCCCATCCACTGAGAGGTTCTTACAAGAATCACAGTTAATGGATCAAAAGCCTCAACTGCAGGCAAGAGTTGGATTGCATGCCCCGACCTCCTGTGTATGTCACCCACACACTAAGTGTCAACACCCATCCATGACAGGATGGCAAAAAACAGTTCTGGCTAAGATCCCCAGACAACAGACAGGAGATGAAGAAGTGGGCATGAGACAGGCTACCCAGCTTTGATTGCTAAAAAATAGTGCTTGGGTGAGAACCAAGTGGACAAACTTAAACTCTTCATCTACATCCAGGGTACTAAAAGGTTCAAAAAAAGAGAGAAAAAGACAAGAGAGAGGGGTTGTCTTAGTTGCTTTCTCATTGCTAGGACAAGACACCCAACACTCAAAATTTAAAGGAGGAGAAGTTTATCTTGGCTTGTGGTTTTCAAAGGGTTAAGTCCATGGTCAACTGGCTCCAAGGCAGGAAGGGCATGGTGGAAGGGGCTGGTGGAAGAATGCTGCTCATGCCGGGAAGCTGAGAGAGAAGGGGGGATCCAGGAAGGGAGATGTGTACTTCTAGGTTACGCCCCCAGGGACCTGCCTCTTCGACCAGACCCCCACTTCCTAACAGCACATTCAGAGATGGATTCATCAATGGATCAGTACTCTGATGAGTATCACACCCCACGACCCATTCATCTTCCAAATGCCCTACCTCTGCACACACAAAGCTTTGGGGGGACATTCTAGTCAGTGATGGTAAATCTTTTAGAGCTTTCAATGATATAAACAGCCCACGGCGGCATACATGCCATAGTTTTGCCACCACTGTTCTAGATCCAAACCATAACCGGGGTGAGGGATGCTCAGCCCTCACCTGAAGCCTGGTGAGAACCGCTTCTGGTAGGGAGGCAGTGGTTCTGCAGGTGAGCACTCATGCCGGATGTAGAGCTGCCTCCTGGTCTAGCCCCACCTCAGCCTTGTCCTCCACACTAATAGGTAAAGTTTGTTTTCTTTCAGTAGTGAGTTTGGTGGTGAGCAAAAGGGCCTCAGGGCAGCTGTCCCTCTAGCCAGTCCACTGTGCACATGGGCAAACTATGTGTCATTTGGCCATGAAGCTCTACCCATGAGAAGACACTCTGTTTGCAATCTGCCACCTCCTGTGTAAACTGCCCCTAAGTCAGCTTCATGAAAAGATGGCCCTTGAAGACGAGACTCCCTGCTATCTATGGATGCAGTAAAGATCTCTGTGGACCACAGCACCTGCCCTGGCTTCTGCCATGAGGCAAGTAGACCGAGCCTTCTGCTCAGGAATAATTCCACTGGAGAAGCTTGATATGGGTCCCCTGCAACTGAGAGTGCCTGGTGCCTGGCTCCCACCGGAAACCTTACTAGTGAGAAGTGAGCTAGCCTGCCATGCAGGAAAGGAAGTAGGGGTGCTATTGATCGAAGTCATTGGAAAATAATTCCTGGGGTCTCGCATGGTTCACAGCAAGAGCACACAGACCCACCTGGGCATCTCAGCTCCTCCTCAAGCCCACCACAGGGGTGGGGGAGACAGACCTTGATGGAGAAGGTTCTCCTGCCCCAGATTCCCAAGGGCGGAGAAGGGATAAGCACTCAGCTGGGAAGGAGGTGCATTTACCTTTTGCCTATAAGAAACTCAAAAACAACAGAGGCACCCATGGGAGGAAACACCTTGTGAGGCCCTGAGGATGTAGCTCAGAAGGAGTCAGAAATGTCTGCAAAGGGGAGAAAGAGATGCAGCGTCAGGCTCCCTTATGTGCACCTGCTCCAGGCCCTGTGTGTGGGAGGAATACAGGCCACATTTCAGCCAAGCCTACCAGTTTGAATCCTATGTGAGAGGAGCTGCAGCACTGCTAAACTGAGGTTCTGTGTATGATCCAGGACTGGCCTGAAAAACCAAGGTCGGCTCAGGTTTCCATCAGGGACAAGAGAACTCATCCACTGGAGCAAATTAAAGGGACAGTGGGAACCAGAATTAAACAGCTTTAGCTTGAGTCTTGTCTGTTCAACTCAGGTTACACATTCATCCATCCACCCACCCACCCACCCATCCATCCACCCACC